ACGGGGTTTCACCATGTTGACCAGGATGGTCTTGATCTCTCGACCTCGTGATCCACCCGCCTCGGCCTCCCAAAGTGCTGGGATTACAGACTTGAGCCACCGCGCCCGGCTATCTTGTTAATATTTTAATGGATATTCCCTGAAGACATAACAGTCTTGGATTGGAGACAAAGAACTTTATTACTTCTGACACAGTCAGCAGCATGAGCATCATGTTGGTATTGGTTCCCCAGGCCTCCCAAGTCCCACAGAGGTGGTGCAAAGGGACCATGGTAGATGTCACACACAACATGGGTTTGCATTATAGCCAGTGAACCCTGAGCTTGGGAATCCATTTTAGCAAACCTGTTCTTTGTCCCAAATTGACACTTACATCTTTTTTCAAATATGCCTCCTGCAAACACAACCATGAGAAATATCCTGGATAGAGTGGTCCTAGTGGAATTTTGGCCTATCCAGAAGATCAGAGAGGGACACTCAGGACCTATGACAGATCTCCCGAATTGTGGTGAGGTTTTAGTTAAGGAGATCGGTTATTGTGTGGAAAGCACTGTTCCTGACACGTAGTAAACCTTACCAGAGAAGGTGACTTTTGAGCTGTTTCCAAACATTCTGAGAGATCAATCTTTGGGAAAAGGTGAGGAAAGGATCCTCTCGGTAAAGGAAATAGTGTTTGCAAAAATGAGAGATTTACATAGGATGGTTCAACAAATTCTGAACCCTCCTAGATCAGAGGAAGATTAGAGTTGTGAGTCAGTGTATGTTAGAGAATGCACCTTCACCAGTCCATTTCTTCCAGCCACTGTCATCCATGTGAGTGCTCTTAAATCGCTGTGCTGTGTCATTGCACACTGCCATAGCACATCATGTGGAGCTCAGTGTGCAATAACATAGCAAAGCGATTTAAGAGCACTCACGTGGATGACAGTAGCTGGAAGATCTGGTAAGTAGTTTAGAGTCAAGGGGAAAAGGAATGAATTTACCTATAGACTGGGATTACTTGCAGGTATATCTAGGAAGGCAGGCCAAGTTCAACCCAACTTACTTTTCGAAGTTCCTTCAGGACTGAAAGCCTGATGTAGCTATGTGTTCTGCTGAAGTGTGCTGGATTGAAATAGGTGAGGAGTGGAATGGAATGGATGTTAAAATATGTGATAACTACATATAAGCTGTTTCATTAATTCTTTAATTAATTTTTTTTTTTTTTTTTTTTTGAGACATGCTCTGTCACCCAGGCTGGAGTACAGTGCTGCAATCTCGGTTCACTGCAACCTGGCTTCCTGGATTCAAGATTCTCCCACCTCAGGCTCCCAAGTAGCTGAGAGTACAGGCGAGCACCACCATGCCCAGATAATTTTTGTATTTTTAGTAGAGATGGGGTTTCACCGTGTTGACCAGGCTGGTCTCGAGCTCTTGACCTCCAGTGATCCGCCTGCCTTGGCCTCCCAAAGTGCTGGGATTACAGGCGCGAGCCACCATGCCCAGCTCCTGTTTAATTACTTCGAGGATGAATGATTTTATTCATATTAGAATAATTCCAAAATGGATGGAGTGTGGTAGGGCTCTCTTTTAATTTTGAACAGTCTCCCAACCTAAATTTTATCTTTTATAGCATTGACATTATTCTCTATTTGTATTAGTTTTGGGATTTTATTAATTCATGTAACCGTTTGTTCATGATTCACTTTTTCGAAGGTCTTTATTGATTTTCTACTACCTCCCTATGAATAAAATAGACTAAGTACCTACTTCCAGTCTATCTCATTCACCAGCTAAGGCCAAAAGAAAAACAAATGCATGAAAAAACGATCTCAGATTCTGACTGAGTTATATGAAAGTAAAGAAATGGGATAGTGAGAGACTAGAGGGTGGGCGGGAGGCAGTCAGATTGAGGAGCAGCACATAGGACGTGTGAGGTGACCCGAAGGAAAAGAGAAGTGTTTGTAAGGATCGCCAGTAAGTATTTAAAGTATGTATTTTCTAAGTATCAGGACGTTTTCTTTTGTAGCTATGGTACAGTTAGGAAATTCAGGAAGCTTAACTTTGATGTATTACTAATATCTAACAAATAGTACATACTCCATTTTTTCACTTTGTACTGTACTATCTACTTCATTGCAACTTATTTTTCCCAATCTCGAATCCAACCTAAGAGAATGATTTACTTTTTTTTTTCCTCATACATAAGGACACAGGCTGGGTGTAGTGGCTCACACCCATACTCACATCAGGCCAAGGTGGGAGGACTGTTCAAAACCACCCTGGCCAACACAGAGAGACCCCATCTCTGCAAAATAGTTTAAAAATTAGACACGCCTGGTGGCACAAGCTTGTGTTCCCAGTTACTCTGGAGGCCGAGGCTGCGGAGAGCCGTGGCCGTACGGCTGCACTCTAGCCTGGGTGACACAGCAAGACTCTGTCTCAAAGAAGAAAAAAAAGAACAATTGCTGCTTTTTCTCCCAGCACTGTTGTCATTTGTGCTGTTAAGTACCATTTTCATGTTGAATCTTGTATGAGTTGGATTTCTTCAGTTTCCAGTTTCCTTGTGATTAGAATCAGATGTATTTTATATATGATATATGTATGTTATATATAAATATGTTAACATATACTTGTATATTTATGTTATATATTTTATCTGATTCTAATCAAAGGGAAACAATGAATCATTGTTTTATATGTGTGTATATATATATTTATTTATATACACAGACACACATACATATATATATATATATATATATTTTTTTTTTTTTTACTATTTCACTGATTTTTTTTATTAGGGCAAGCGTATGTTTTGTAACATATTTCACTTGCAAGTATGTATGATGAGGTCTCCCTGTCTCTCTACACTGGCGCTCCTGGGGTCTGGTCACAATATGCCACCACAGTGGGGGCAAATCACCTTCCTTTCGGGCAGGAGGCAAAGCTTCAGTCAGAGGACCACCAGGTGGCGTTTCCTCCTCCAGTTTAATCTCTTTCCCAGCTTTCTCCCCGCAGTTTCTTCCCCTTTCTCTCTTGGCAAAGTAATCAAGATACATTGCCTTTTCAGAAGGATGCCAGGCATCCATGCAGTTTTCTGGAACCCTGTAACACTCGTGTCTCTCATACGAGGAACCCCCAGGAGAGTCAGGGAAGATGTATGCCTGTGGATACTCACAGGACCAGAAATCTTCCTCAGCCTCCCTCAGCATCTGGGTGGCCTTCTTCATATCCTTTTCATTCTTATGTTCTTCAAACCGGGCTCCCATCAAACAAGCCAAGTATTGGTATTTGTCCCTGTGGACACACCACGACTTGAGGTGGCTCAGCGCCCCGTTACAAAACCACAGCACCTTCTGTTTTAGTAATGATTCTTGCCTGAGCCAATTATATTGTGATTCCAAATTGAGATTTTGAAATTGAAAATCTTTTCTTGGCCAGACGCAGTGGCTCAGGCTTATAATCTCAGCACTTTGGTAGGCCAAGACAGGCAGATTACCTGAGGTCAGGAGTTTGAAACCAGGCTGACCAACATGGAGAAACCCCATCTCTATTAAAAATACAAAATAATTTCACTGCATGAAGTCATTTTTAAAAAATACAAAATTAGCCGGGCGCGGTGGCTCAAGCCTGTAATCCCAGCACTTTGGGAGGCCAAGGCAGGTGGATCACGAGGTCAAGAGATCGAGACCATCCTGGTCAACATGGTGAAACACCGTCTCTACTAAAAATACAAAAAACTAGCTGGGCGTGGTGGTGTGTGCCTGTAATTCCAGCTACTTAGGAGGCTGAGGCAGGGGAATTGCCTGAGCCCAGGAGGCGGAGGTTGTGGTGAGCGGAGATCGTGCAATTGCACTCCAGCCTGGGTAACAAGAGCAAAACTCCGTCTCAAAAAAAAGAAAAAAAAAAATACAAAATTAGTTGGTCATGGTGGCGCATGCCTGTAATCCAAGCTACTTTGGAGGCTAAGGCAGGAGAATCGCTTGAACCTGGGAAGTGAAGGTTGCGGTGAGCTGAGATTGCGCCTTTGCACTCCAGCCTGGGCAACAAGAGCAAAACTCCATCTCAAAAAATAAAAATAATCAACGGGCGTGGTGGCTCATGCCTGTAAGCCCAGCACTTTTGGAGGCCGAGGTGGGTGGTTCACGAGGTCAAGAGATCGAGACCATCTTGACCAAGATGTTGAAACCCCGTCTCTACTAGAAACACACAAAACAATTAGCTGGGCATGGTGGTGCGCATCTGTCATCTCAGCCAGTTGGGAGGCTGAGGCAGGAGAATCTCTTGAACCCAGGATATGGAGATTGCAGTGAGCCGGGATCGCGCCACTGCACTCTAACCTGGGGAAAGATCAAGACTCTGTCTAAAAATAAATTTTTTAAAAAAATAAAAATATAAAGATTTTACTGGCTCTCTGGTTGAGAGGTTACGCAGCGGTGGAGGAAGACGACATGGTGGTAAAGCTTTCAAAACCAGCTCGCAGTTAGTTTAGCCTCGTTTTACGCTCACCTTCAAGCTGCTCATAGCAGCCGGGCACAGCGGCTGGCGCCTGTAATCATAGCACTTTGGAAGGCCGAGGCAGGCGGATCGATTGAGCTCTTGAGTTCGAGACCAGCCAGGGCAACATGGCGAAACACGGTCTCTACCAAAAAGTACAAAATCAGCAGGCGGGGTGGCGCGCGCCCGTAACCCCAGCCACTCAGGAGGCTAAGGTGGCAGGATCGCTTACGCCCGGATGGTCAAAGTTACAGTGAGGCGAGACCGCGCCAGACCCTCTCAAAAAAAAAGAAAACAGAAAAGGTAGCTCATAGGAATGAAAAATCTGAAAAAGTTGCCATTGGGATTTAAACGACCCGCTGAAGCCCTCAGGGACCCCACCACTGAGGGAGCCGCCCCAGGCTCTGCTCCGAATCTTCCCACGCCCCCTGCACCCAGCGGCATTGAGCATGCGCAGACCCTTCCCGCCCACTTCCGGTGGAGCAGCTAACCACCGCGTGGGTTGAGTGTGCGCCTAAAACTCAAAAACCAGAGCGTTCTGGGTTGAGCGGGGCTTTCGGTTCTGCGCCCCGCGGGGTTCCGTGGGTCCTGCACAGCATCAGGCCTGAGCCGCAGGTCCAGCTGCTCCAGGTAAGCCGGGAGGGCCGCAAGAAAGGCCCAGTAGGGCCTGGCGGGAGGGTTACTCAACCCGGCAGGGGCTTCCTGAGAATCCACTGTGCCCAAACCTCGGGGTCAGGACCCGTCCACGGCTGGTCTTCTCAGACTGTGGATCCTTTTGGTGGTGGTGGTTGTTTTTTGAAATGGAGTCGCGCTCTTGTTGCCCAGGCTGAAGTGCAGGGGCGCAATCTCGGCTCACGGTAACCTCCGCCTCCCGGGTTCCAGCGATTCTGCTGCCTCAGCCTCCCGAGTAGCTGGGATTACAGGCGCCCGCCACCACACCTGGCTAATTTTTGTATTTTTAGTAGAGACAGGGTTTCACCACGTTGGCTCCGCTGGTGTCGAACTCCCGACCACCAGTGATACGCCCGCTTGGGTCTCCCAAAGTGCTGAGATTACAGGGGTGAGCCACCGCGCCCCGCCGAATTGTGTTTTAAGAAGCGCAAGAGGCCAGGCGTGGTGGCTCAAGCCTCTAATCCAGCACTTTGGGAGGCCGAGGCGGGTGCATCACGGGGTCGAGAGTTCGAGACCATCCTGGTCGACGTGGTGAAACCCCGTCTCTACTAAAAATACAAAAATTTAGCTGGGCGTGGTGGCGCATGCCTGTAATCCCAGCTACTCAGGAGGCTGAGGCAGGAGAATTACCTGAACCCAGGATGCGGAGGTTGCGGTGAGCCGAGATCGCGCCTTTGCACTCCAGCCTGGGTAACAAGAGCGAAAACCGTCTCCAAAAAAAAAAGCACAAGGCCCCGCACAGGCAGTGGGACTCTGATGATTGAATTTTGGAGAAGATTGTGGTGGGAGTGTTAAGCTCCCACCCTACAGCACCAGCCCTTCCCTGGAGGATTTAGTGTTCTTCCGTCCTGCTACGGATGAGAAAGTTTAGGCTCAGTTACGCTTCGTATCATCTAAAATACAGAGGTTGAGTCTTGAGGTCAGGGATCTCCCACAGGTTTGATTTATTAGCCGAATATTCATTGAGCCCACACTGTGGGCCATCACAAGAATCAGAGTAGGAGCCGGGCATGGTGGGTCATATCTGTCACTCCCCAACACGTAGAGGCCGATATGGGAGGATGCTTGAACCCAGTTCTGGGTCAGGTTGGTGCCTGGGCAACATGGTGAGACCCCTGTCTCTACTAAAAAAATCCGGGCATAGGCACATGCCTATGGTCCCAGCTACTTGGGAGGCTGAGGTTGGAGGATTGCTTGAGCCCAGGAGGCAGAGATTGCAGTGACCGGAGATCAAGCCATACATTACTAAAAATTAGCTGGGCATGGTGGCTCGTGCCTGTAATCCCAGCTACTCAGGAGGCTGAGGCAGGAGAATTGCCTGAACCCAGGAGGCGGAGGTTGCGGTGAGCTGAGATCGCGCCATTGCACTCCAGCCTGGGTAACAAGAGCGAAACTCCGTCTCAAAAAAAAAAAAAAGAAAAACAAATGCATGAAAAAAACAACCTCAGATTCTGACTGAGTTCTATGAAAGTAAAGAAATGGGATAGTGAGAGACTAGAGGGTGGGCGGGAGGCAGTCAGATTGAGGAGCAGCACATAGGACGTGTGAGGTGACCCGAAGGAAAAGAGAAGTGTTTGTAAGGATCGCCAGTGAGTATTTAAAGTATGTATTTTCTAAGTATCAGGACGTTTTCTTTTGTAGCTATGGTACAGTTAGGAAATTCAGGAAGCTTAACTTTGATGTATTACTAATATCTAACAAATAGTACATACTCCATTTTTTCACTTTGTACTGTACTATCTACTTCATTGCAACTTATTTTTCCCAATCTCGAATCCAACCTAAGAGAATGATTTACTTTTTTTTTTCCTCATACATAAGGACACAGGCTGGGTGTAGTGGCTCACACCCATACTCACATCAGGCCAAGGTGGGAGGACTGTTCAGAACCACCCTGGCCAACACAGAGAGACCCCATCTCTGCAAAATAGTTTAAAAATTAGACACGCCTGGTGGCACAAGCTTGTGTTCCCAGTTACTCTGGAGGCCGAGGCTGCGGAGAGCCGTGGCCGTACGGCTGCACTCTAGCCTGGGTGACACAGCAAGACTCTGTCTCAAAGAAGAAAAAAAAGAACAATTGCTGCTTTTTCTCCCAGCACTGTTGTCATTTGTGCTGTTAAGTACCATTTTCATGTTGAATCTTGTATGAGTTGGATTTCTTCATAGTTTCCAGTTTCCTTGTGATTAGAATCAGATGTATTTTATATATGATATATGTATGTTATATATAAATATATTTACATACACTTGTATATTTATGTAATATGTTTCATCTGATTCTAATCAAAAGGAAACAATGAATCATTGTTGTATATATATATATATATACACACACATATATATATATATATTTTTTTATACTATTTCACTGATTTTTTTATTAGGGCAAGCGTATGTTTTGTAACATATTTCACTTGCAAGTATGTATGATGAGGTCTCCCTGTCTCTCTACACTGGCGCTCCTGGGGTCTGGTCACAATATGCCACCACAGTGGGGGCAAATCACCTTCCTTTCGGGCAGGAGGCAAAGCTTCAGTCAGAGGACCACCAGGTGGCGTTTCCTCCTCCAGTTGTTTAATCTCTTTCCCAGCTTTCTCCCCGCAGTTTCTTCCCCTTTCTCTCTTGGCAAAGTAATCAGGATACATTGCCCTTTGGGAAGGATGCCAGGCATCCAAGCAGTTTTCTGGAACCTTGTAACACTCGTGTCTCTTATACGAGGAACCCCCAGGAGAGTCAGGGAAGATGTATGGCTGTGAATGCTCACGGTACCAGAGATCTTCCTCAGCCTCCCTCAGCATCTGGGTGGCCTTTATCATATCCTTTTCATTCTTATGTTCTTCCAACCGGGCTCCCATCAAACAAGCCAAGCATCGGTATTTGTCCCTGTGGACACACCACGACTTGAGGTGGCTCTGTAGCTCCTTAAAAAACCGCACCACCTTCTGCTGATGAGTAACGTAGGCTGCCGGTTCAGAGAACGCCATGGCGGCACTATACATATACTTTTATATCTAATTCTCTATTATAGGGCAGGCTCAGTGGCCCACACCTGTAATCCCAGCACTTTGGGAGGCTGAGGCAGATGGATCACATGAGGTCAGGAGTTCGAGACCAGCCTGGCCAACATGGTGAAACCCCATCTCTACTAAAATTACAAAAATCAGCTGGGCATGGTGGCGGGGACCTCAGTCCCAGATACTTGGGAGGCTGAGGCAGAAGAATCGCTTGAATTGGGAGGCAAAGGTTGCAGTGAGCCAGAATCATGCCATTGGACTCCAGCTTGGGAGATAGTGAAACTCCATCTCAAAAAATAATATAATTTTATGTTATATATAATTACATATAATAGAATTTTATGTATTATACATATATTCTGCAAAATTCTCCATAGATGTGATGCTTTGCTCTCCATTTCAGGTCATCCGGTTGTGCCATCGTTGGTTCAGGTGGTGGTCTCTAGATCTCTACATTATAAAGGTACTCATATTTGTAATTAAAATATAATCCTAGAGTAAAATTTTTGAGAATGTGAATATCATTCTCTCCTAAAATGTTACCCAATAGTTTTTTTTTTTTTTTTTTTTTTTTTTTTTTGAGACGGAGTTTCACTCTTGTTACCCAGGCTGGAGTGCAATGACACGATCTCGGCTCACTGCAACCTCCGCCTCCTGGGTTCAGGCAATTCTCCTGCCTCAGCCTCCTGAGTAGCTGGGATTACAGGCACGTGCCACCACACCCAGCTAATTTTTTGTATTTTTATTAGAGACGGGGTTTCACCATGTTGACCAGGATGGTCTTGATCTCTCGACCTCGTGATCCACCCGCCTCGGCCTCCCAAAGTGCTGGGATTACAGGCTTGAGCCACCGCGCCCGGCCTCCAATAGTTTTTATAGTTAGTAATGATTCTTACCTGAGCCAATTATATTGTGATTCCAAATTCAGGACTTTTTTTTTTTTTTGAGACGGAGTTTCGCTCTTGTTACCCAGGCTGGAGTGCAATGGCGCGATCTCGGCTCACCGCAACCTCTGCCTCCTGGGTTCAGGTAATTCTCCTGCCTCAGCCTCCTGAGTAGCTGGGATTACAGGCACGCGCCACCATGCCCAGCTAATTTTTTGTATTTTTAGTAGAGACGGGGTTTCACCATGTTGACCAGGATGGTCTCTATTTCTTGACCTCGTGATCCACCCGCCTTGGCCTCCCAAAGTGCTGGGATTACAGACTTGAGCCACCGTGCCCGGCCATTCAGGAGATTTTGAAATTAAAAATCTTTTCTTGGGCCGGGCGCGATGGCTCAAGCCTGTAATCCCAGCACTTTGGGAGGCCAAGACGGGTGGATCACGAGGTCGAGAGATCGAGACCATCCTGGTCAACATAGTGAAACCCCGTCTCTACTAAAAATACAAAAAATTAGCTGGGCATGGTAGTGCGTGCCTGTAATCCCAGCTACTCAGGAGGCTGAGGCAGGAGAATTGCCTGAACCCAGGAGGCGGAGGTTGCGGTGAGCCGCCGAGATTGCGCCATTGCACTCCAGCCTGGGTAACAAGAGTGAAACTCCATCTCAAAAAATCTTTTCTTGGCCAGGCACAGTGGCTCAGGCCTATAATCTCAGCACTTTGGTAAGCCAAGACAGGCAGGTTACCTGATGTCAGGAGTTTGAAACCAGGCTGACCAACGTAGAGAAACCCCATCTCTATTAAAAATACAAAATAATTTCACTGCATGAAGTTATTAAAAAAAATACAAAATTAGTTGGGCATAGTGGTGCCTGCCTATAATCCAAGCTACTTTGGAGGCTGAGGCAGGAGAATCACTTGAACCTGAGAGGTGAAGGTTGTGGTGAGCTGAGATTTCGCCTTTGCACTCCAGCCCTTGCAACAAGAGCAAAACTCCGTCTCAAGCAATAAAAATAATCACTGGGCGTGGTGGCTCACGCCTGTAATCCTAGCACTTTGGGAGGCCAAGGTTAGTGGATCACCTGAGGTCAGAAGTTCAAGACCAGCCTGGCCATCATGGTGAAACCCCATCTTTTTATTAAAAAAAAAAAAAAAAAGGCCGGGCGCGGTGGCTCAAGCCTGTAATCCCAGCACTTTGGGAGGCCGAGGCAGGTGGATCACGAGGTCAAGAGATCAAGACCATCCTGGTCAACATGGTGAAACCCCGTCTCTACTAAAAATACAAAAAATTAGCTGGGCATGGTGGTGTGTGCCTGTAATCCCAGCCACTCAGGAGGCTGAGGCAGGAGAATTGCCTGAACCCAGGAGGCCGAGGTTGCGGTGAGCCGAGATCGCGCCATTGCACTCCAACCTGGGTAACAAGAGTGAAACTCCGTCTCAAAAAAAAAAAAAAAAAAAAAAAATTAGGTTGGGTGCGGTGGCTCACGCCTGTAATCCCAGCACTTTGGGAGGCCGAGGTGGGTGGATCATGAGGTCAAGAGATCGAGACCATCCTGGTCAACATGGTGAAACCCCATCTCTACTAAAAATACAAAAAATTAGCTGGGCATGGTGGGACATGCCTGTAATCCCAGCTACTCAGGAGGCTGAGGGCAGGAGAATTTCGTGAACCCAGGAGGTGGAGGTTGCGGTGAGCCGAGCTCGCGCCATTGCACTCCAGCCTGGGTAACAAGAGCGAAACTCCATCTCAAAAAAAATAAAAAATAAAAAATAATAGTAATAATAATATTTTCTCACCCACAGGAATGATTGCTCTATTATAACCTGTGGCTAATTTACTGAAGTAGAAAATCATGAAACTTAGATTCAGATGGGCTCATCTGTAATAGAGCTGTAAGCTTTAAATTATTATTATCCTCCAAGCTAAGGAACAGGGGACTAAAGAGGACTTCAGAGGTGTCACGCCAGGCCAGTGAAACCTAAACCTGATCAATCTACAAGGTGTGGAAGGGGTATCCACTTGTCACTGGGTTTGAGCTCTACAGAGGCAGGACTGACCAAAGGGAGCTTACCTTATGTACTACCTTTGTTCACAGCTTGATGGATTTTGTGACAGCCCTGACTAAACTCCAAGAGGCGTCTAGCTGTCCCATCTGTCTGGAGTACTTGAAAGACCCAGTGACCATCAACTGTGGGGACAACTTCTGTCGCTCCTGCCTCAGTATATCCTGGAAGGATCTAGATGATACCTTTCCCTGTCCTGTTTGCCGTTTTTGCTTTCCATACAAGAGCTTCAGGAAGAACCCCCAGCTCCGTAATTTCACTGAAATTGCTGAACAACTCCAGATTAGGAGGAGCAAGAGAAAGAGACAGAAAGAGATTGCCATGTGTGAAAAGCACAATCATTTTCTGTCCCTCTTTTGTGTGAAGGATCTGGAGATCTTATGTATACAGTGCAGTTTCTCCGCTAAACACCGGAAGCACTACATTTGCCCTGTTAAGAAAGCTGCCCCTTATCACAGAGAAATTCTAGAAGGTAGCCTTGAGCCCTTGAAGAAAAATATAAAACGAGTTGAAAAAACGATAATTCTGCAAAGCAGCAAGTCAGTGGAGCTGAAAAAGAAGGTAGAATATAAGAGGGAAGAAATAAATTCTGAGTTTGAGCAAATTAGATTGTTTTTACAGAATGAGCAAGAGGCTATTCTTAGGCAGATACAAGATGAAGAGATGGACATTTTAGCAAAACTAAATGAAAACCTTGTAAAATTTTCAGATTATGTTTCTACTTTAAAACATCTACTGAGGGAAGTAGAGGGCAAGTCTGTGCAGTCAAACCTGGAATTACTGACACAGGTTAAGAGTATACACAACAGGTATCAAAACCTAAAACGCCCTGACCTCTTTTCATTTAGATTAACAAAATATGGTGTCAGTCTTCCTCCTCAATACTCTGGCTTGGACAGAATTATCAAGCCATTTCAAGTAGATGTGATTCTAGATCTTGACACAGCACATCCTCAACTTATTGTCTCTGAGGATAGAAAAGCTGTGCGATATGGAAGAACAAAACCAAACATTTCTTACAACCCAAGGAGATTTTATGCCTGCCCTGCTGTCCTGGGGTCTCAGAGATTTTGTTCTGGCCGACATTACTGGGAGGTAGAAGTGGGAAACAAGCCTAAATGGATACTGGGTGTGTGTCAAGACTGTCTTCTTAGGAACTGGCAGGATCAGCCATCAGTTGTGGCTGGATTCTGGGCAATTGGGCGATATATGAAGAGTGGTTATGTTGTGTCAGGTCCTAAGACAACCCGGCTTCTGCCAGTAGTAAATCCCAGTAAGATTGGTATTTTTCTGGACTATGAATTGGGTGATCTTTCCTTTTATAATATGAATGACAGGTCTGTTCTCTATACTTTTAATGATTCTTTCACAGAAGCTGTTTGGCCTTATTTCTATACTGGAACAGATTCCAAACCTCTTAAAATCTGTTCAGTATCAGATACTGAAGGATAAAGAACTGGTTAATGAGTCTGTTTCAGTTTTTGTGGGTAACTTAGCCAGTAAATTTAGTCTCATTTCTGGAATCTTTAAGTTTTACCACTGAAAACCAGAGTAGATTTTTCTCCTAAATTTTTGGTAACTATAAAAACATGTTCATTGGGGGAGAGTTTAAATTTAAAAAAAAAGAAATTTAAAAAGAAAAAAGGCTAGGTGCAGTGGATCACAAAGTTAAGAGTTCGAGACCAGCCTGACCAACATGGTGAAAGCCCATCTCTAAAAATTTTTTTTTAAAAGTTCATAATGCCACGTTCATATATGTTATGAATATCAATTGTCAAGTGCTTTGATTTCTAAGATAAAATATTTGAGAATTATATTATCTTAACATGTCCAATAAAATGTTTTCAAATTGCCTATTTTTTTTAGTTAAGCCAATTTAAATATCATGTTTGCCACATACCTTTCTTTTTAGTTGATTCTTCTGTTTACCCCCATATTTCTCATCCATTCTTTTCTGTTCTTTCATGTGTGTCAGTTGAAACAATTGACTTATTTTTGTGGATAACGAGGATTTCACTTTGTTTAAATCATTTCCCCACATATACTTAACCTATCCACAATCCATAGTTAATCTCTAACAGCTCTTTTCTTCTTTCTGTATATCGCCTCCACTAGCCCAGTACAGCTGCCAATCTTCCAGTCACTACCATGCTAGGAACTGACCTCTGTTCTTTTTTTTTTTTTTTTTTTTTTTGAGATGGAGTTTCGCTCTTGTTACCCAGGCAGGAGTGCAATGGCGCAATCTCAGCTCACGGCAACCTCTGCCTCCTGGGTTCAGGCAATTCTCCTGCCTCAGCCTCCTGAGTAGCTGGGATTACAGGCATGCGCCACCATGCCCAGCTAATTTTTTGTATTTTTAGTAGAGACGGGGTTTCACCATGTTGACCAGGATGGTCTCGATCTCGTGACCTCGTGATCCATCCGCCTCGGCCTCCCAAAGTGCTGGGATTACAGGCTTGAGCCACCGTGCCCGGCCTGACCTCTGTTCTTGGATTCTTTCTTGGCTTAAGTCTCTGCTTTCCTCTTTATCTTTTCATTTAGGGGTGTCATCAACCCAAATGTTGCAGCGTTGTAGAGTTTGGCAGACTACAAGTTTGCAAATGACTTCACCCATATTTAGGTGACAGTTAAAGAGAATGTTTGGAATCATTTCCATTTTTAAGCCATGATGGTTTTGATAAGTCTGATATCAGTCTGATTCTTGATGCTCGGATACCACTGTTTTTCATAATTTAGATCTTGACACAGCACATCCTCAACTTATTGTCTCTGAGGATAGAAAAACTGTGTGATACAGAAGAACAAAACCAAACATTTGTTATGACCCAAGGAGATATTATGCCTGCCCTGCTGTCCTGACCTCTCAGAGATTTTGTTCTGGCCGACATTACTCGGAGGTAAAAATGGGAAACAAGCCTAAATGGATATTGGGTGTGTGTCAAGACTGTCTTCTTAGGAACTGGAAGGATCAGCCATGAGTACTTGGATTCTGGGCAGTTGGGTGATAATATGAAGAGTAGTCCTAGTGTTTGAACTTTGTTTTACTGAGTAATTAAGCTTAGTTGTGCCGGGCGCAGTGGCTCACGCCTGTAATCCTAACACTTTGGGAGGCCGAGGTGGGTGGATCACCTGAGGTCAGGAGTTCAAGACCAGCCTGACCATCATGGTGAAACCCCATCTCTCTCTCTCTTTTTTTTTTTTTAAACTTAGTTTAGTTTCCCTTATCCAAAATGCTTGGAATCATAAGTGTTCAGCTTTCCGGTTTTTGGGGGGAGTTTTGGAATATTTGCTTATGCACTATGAGATATCTTAGGATGGGACGTAGTTGAAACAAAAAATTCATTTTATTTTTTATTTTTTTTATTTTTGAGACGGAGTTTCGCTCTCGTTACCCAGGCTGGAGTGCAATGGCGCGATCTCGGCTCACCGCAACCTCCGCCTCCTGGGTTCAGGCAATTCTCCTGCCTCAGCCTCCTGAGTAGCTGGGATTACAGGCACGCACCACCATGCCCAGCTAATTTTTTGTATTTTTAGTAGAGACGGGGTTTCACCATGTTGACCAGGATGGTCTCGATCTCTTGACCTCGTGATCCACCCGCCTCGGCCTCCCAAAGTGCTGGGATTACAGGCTTGAGCCACCGTGCCCGGCCTTTAAAAAATTCATTTTATATATGCCTTATACACATAGCCTGCAGGTAATTGTATAAACAATTAGAAAGAGAGGCCGGGCGCGGTGGCTCAAGCCTGTAATCCCAGCACTTTGGGAGGCCGAGGCGTGTGGATGACGAGGTCGACAGATCGAGACCATCCTGGTCAACATGGTGAAACCCCGTCTCTACTCAAAATACAAAAAATTAGCTGGGCATGGTGGCACATGCCTGTAATCCCAGCTACTCAGGAGGCTGAGGCAGGAGAATTGCCTGAACCCAGGAGGCGGAGGTTGCGGTGAGCCGAGATTGTGCCATTGCACTCCAGCCTGGGTAACAAGAGCGAAACTCCGTCTCAAAAAAAAAAAAAAAAAAAAAACAATTAGAAAGAGAGAGAAATGTAAATTAAAGATAATTTTAGCTATGTGGTTATTTTTCTTAATTATCCTGATGCTTTCATATATGATACATGTCAACACTCCTAAAATTGTACACATTGATTTGCACTTTATTTTATGTCTATTACAGTAAAGCTGTTTAGAAATGTCCGGAAAGAGGGCAGGAAGAATAAAAATAAAAATGTCTGGGAAACTGCTAGATTAAAGAAGGCTAAATCAAAATGACAATGAATAAACAATTGACGTCTGAATTTTGAAAACAAATTATAGATCGATGATTTTAAATTACTATAATTTTAATAACGATATGTGAGTATAATAAAAGACCTTATTTTGGGCGATTAATGTATCAGGAGGAAAGTTCTGGAAATGTACTTTCAAATGCTTTAACAAAACAAATGAACAGGAAAACAATGGATATACAGAGAGAAATATTTTATCTTGTGAGCACAATTTTTTCTTTGGCTATGACAACCAAAACTACAGGCAACAAAAGCAAAAAGAAGACCATATCAGACTAAAAATCTGCACAGAAAAGTAAGCAGTCAGCAAAATGAAAAAGCATAGTGTGGACTGGAAGAGACATTTGCAAACCAAACACATGATAACAAGTTAATATCCAAATGTATGACAGTATTTATTCAGCCTTTATAAAGAAGGAAATCCTCTTTCTAACCCCGGCCCCCGACCCTACAGCTACTGAGATGTTGATACCTGAGAAGAACCGGATTGCCATTTATGAATTCCCTTTTTTTCCCCCCGAGAGACAGAGTCTTGCTCTGTTGCCCCGGTTCAGTGCTGAGACACAATCTCTGCTTACTGCAGCCTCCGTCTTCGGGTTCAAGCAATTCTCCTGCCTCAGCCTCCAGAGTAGCTGGGATTACAGGTACACACCACCACACCCAGCTAATTTTTGTATTTTTAGTACAGATGGAGTTTCACCATGTTGGCCAGTCTGGTCTCGAACTCCTGACCTCATGATCCACCTACTTTGGCCTCTCAAAGTGCTAGAATTACAGGTATGAGCCACCGCACCCGGCCATGAAGTCCTTTTTAAGGAAGGAGTCATGGTGGCCAAGAAGGATGTCCACATGCCTAAGCACTGGGAGCTGTAGGACAAGAATGTGCCCAATCTTCACGTCATGAAGGCCATTCAGTCTTTCAAGTTCCATGCTGCATGAAGGAACAGTTTGCCTGGAGATATTTCTACTAATACCTTCCCAAAGAGGGAAGGTACCTCCATGATTACATCCAGTATCTCCATGATTACCTGCAGATTGGGCCTGCCACTCTACACCGCAGCCATGCAGAGACTGACAGGCCTCGGCCTAAAGATCTGGAGCATGAGCCACTTGCGAGACTCACAAGAGGGGAAGCCGACAGAGATACCTACCGATGGTGTGCTGTGCTCCCTGATGGTGACAAGAAATATAAGGCTGGGGCTGGGTCAGCAACCCAATTCCAGTTTAGAGGTAGATTTGGTGGTGGTGGTCAGCCACCTCAGTAAAATTGGAGAGGATTATTTTTTGTTGTATAAACTTAATGGCCAAAGAAAATGAGATCCTGTCATTTGTGACAACATAGATGGACCTGGAGGATATTATGCCGAATGAATAAGCCAGACACAGAAATAAAACTACTGCATGATCTCACACATATGTGAAATCTAACAAGATTGAATACATAGAAACGGGGGTAGAATGGTCGTTACCAGGGGCTGGGAGGGAGGGGAGCGGGGAGATGTTGGTCAGACGGCACAAAGTTACCATTATGCATGCTGTACAAGTCTAGCTAGTCTCCTTCACCCAGATGATCACTACTTAGACCAAGCTTGTCCAACCTGCAGCCAGCCCACAGGCTGCATGTAGCCCAAACAGCTTTGAGTGCAGCCCAACATAAATTCGTAAACTTTCTTAAAACATTCCTTTTTTTTTTTTTGCCTTTTTTTTTTTTTTTTTGAAATGAAGTCTTGCACTGTCTCTCAGGCTGGAGTGCAGTGGCACGATCTTGGCTCACTGCAACCGCCGCCTCCCAGGTTCAAGCATTTCTCCTGCCTCAGCCTCATGAGTAGCTGCGATTATAGGTGCATGCCACCATGCCCAGTTAATTTTCTTTTTTTTATTATTTTTAGTAGAGACGGGGTTTCACCATGTTAGTCAGGCTGGTCTCAAACTCCTGACATCATGATCCACCTGCCTTGGCCTCCCAAAGAGCTGGGATTACAGGCATGAACCACCACGCCCAGCACGCATTCTCTTTTTAAAGGTCATCAGCTATTTGTTAGTGTTAATGTAGTTTATGTGTGGCCCAAGACAATTCTTCCAGTGTGGCACAGGGAAGCCAAAAGATTGGATATCCCTGACTTAGACTGAGGCCTTAGCTTGATCTTGGCCACTTCCCCAGGAAGCCTTCACTGGTGGGGTCAC